GACCTTCGCCTAGGTGGTCAATTGACGGAATCTTGAATCTAAAGCTAGATTGACACATTTGGGGAGTATGATATAACCATTGCTCGATTCTACTCACTCTATACCTCTCGGTAGTTCGAGTGATTTTGCCCGAATTGACTTTCTCAAGACCAAATGGGTGAATTTGCACAAGCAATTGAGGATCAAGTCGGGTATTACGATCTCTCGGTTTAACCCTCTAATTGGGGCTATCAATTCTCTTGAGTACGCCCCAATTCCTTGTTGGACTAATTCTAGAGACTTAGGCTCTCTTTCTCAAGAAGAGCAAAAGTCAACTAAACACAAACTAGTATTTGCAACCACTAATTTAGCAATTAAATATGGAATTAGCCCAAATATCAAACACTCATAGTCAATCAAGCTCTAAAATATAAGACGCATCAATTACCCACACTAGGCTTGAGCCACAACCCTAGCTGATGGGTCTAGCTACTCATCATTAGAGAAAGAAACAAAGAAATAGATGAAGAAAAAATTATATTAATTAATTACTAAATTAAACTTGAAGATTCAATGTTGAAATGAAGAGAAAATTGCCCAAAATAGCTAAAGAAACGGAAGTCACGAGTGCAGCCTTCAGTACTTACAATCTGCTTGACCTAAAAATGGAAAAGAAGCTATTTATACTAAGTTGAAAAGTCTGGACAAAAATACCCCTGCGGGGTTAGTGCGGACCGCACAAAATGGTGTGCGGCCGTACTAGGGCTCTGAACACAAAATTCCAGCTCTCTGAACTCATGGAATGCGGACCGCACAGAATGGTGTGCGGCCGCGGTGGCTTCTAGTGCGGTCCGCATGAAATGGAGCGCGGACCGCATTGGCTTCAATTTTCAAAACTGGCACTTCTGTGATCTTTGGCTTTGCGGACCACACAAAATTGAGTGCGGCCGCAGTAACTCCAATGCGGACCGCATTAAATCTCATGCGGCCGCATTGCCTGTTGGCCTGGAAAACACCTTCTCTGAATCTCACTTGTGCGGACCGCACAGAATGGTGTGCGGCCGCACTGGCCCTATTTTGCCTGAGCTTTGTCTTGTCTTGGTACTTGTGCAAGTTTCACTCCTTTTTGAGCTGACCTTTGACATCTTGTCACTTTGTTGATCAAGCCTGCAATCAAGCACAACTTGTGAGCCTTTTGGGACTATTTTGTACAAATTTCTAATCAAAACATAAGCAAGGAGGAGTATAAAATATATCAAAATCCCTAGTTATCAGCTGCAAATGCAGGAACCGCTCCCAGGCCCAAACCTAACATACAAAGTTGACGTAAAATTTAAGATATATTCTTACTAGATATGTTATAATGAATAGAGTATTCGAATATGTTGTCACCTGTAGCAGCGGCAAAAATCCACATACATCATGCTGGGTGCCCATGCTCGCCCGGCACATCTGCCTGTACAAGTAGGCGAGAATAGCAGCACCCAGCTGTGCTGGGGTAAATCATCTAGCCGCTCAAGATGATGAAAAAATCTCAAGCTGACTAGGTTCCCCGAAGTGTTCGGGAACAAGATCCTTCCAAACATAAGAAGTAGCAGCAACCTCGTATACCGGTGAATATGCAGATCATCTGTCTCGCCAGTGATGTCGGGGTGCAATAACTCCAAATGTTGTCAAATAGCCGTCAAACTCAGGCGACTGGCCCCTGCTTGTGTTGTCTCATCCTGTGGCCGGAAACCAGTGAGCTGCTGCAGCATGTCCAGGTACTGCCCACGTGTCATCTCTCTCATGCCCTACGGCAGAACGACGGGGTGTCCATCAACGGGCAGCCCATATAAAACCTCAACGTCCTGGAGTGTGATGGTGGCCTCGCTAATGGGCAGGTGGAATGTGTGCGTCTCCGGTCGCCACCGCTCTATCAGGGCCGTGACCAAAGACCAATCGAGCTGCAGCCGCCCGATCTCCAAAATCCTGTAGAAGCCCGTTTCCCGCAGGCGTCTGACTACACGGGGATGGAGAACTTTGCCCTTCATAAAATTCCACATGTCGTCCACTCTCCTGGCGCGGAGGCTCTGGGCCAGTAACTCTCCCTCCCATATGTAGGCGGACCTATGATCGCCCTGTAACGACAGTAGCTCATCGCGAAAAGGTCTGGGATGCATAAACAGCACGTCCATGTCGTCTACTGTAAATTAAACAACATTAATTACATGTTTGTTTGAAAAATAAATAATTAATTTTTATAATTATATAATATTTTATTATTACGTATTCACATATGGGTTTCAGGCTCGATATTTGAGGCCCAGTAGCACCAAACTATACTGAATTCTTATATGTGTTAGTTTTATTATTTTACATGTTAGTTTCATAATTTTATATGTTTGTTTTGTAAATTAAATAATTAATTTTTATAATTATACAATATTTAATTGGACAGAGTATTCACATATGGGTTCCAGGCTCGATATATGAGGCCCAGTAGCACCAAGCTATCCCGAATTCTTGTATTTGTCAGTTTTATTATTTTACATGTTAGTTTTATAATTTTATATGTTTGTTTTGTAGATTAAATAATTAATTTTTATGATTATATAATATTTAATTGGACAGAGCATTCACATATAGGTTCCAGGCTCGATTTGAAGCCCAGTAGCACCAAGCTATCTTTAATTCTTGTATGTGTTAGTTTTATTATTTTACATGTTAGTTTTATAATTTTATATGTTTGTTTGTAAATTAAATAATTAAGTTTTGTAAATTGGACAGAGTTTGTGTTTGATCTATCAGTATAAGAGATACTTATATTACATGGATACTACGCTAAAAGGCTCTACATTTTATTACACTAAAAGGGCACTATATTACTAGTCTTTAAGCAAATAAATAATCTAAACTAGATAAAAATAATAAATACATTTTAATCACAAAACATTCACGAAAATACATATAAAACAGTAAATGTAATTTATTAACATTTTTATTAACAAATAATAATAATTTCTCAATTTTTACATATTTTTTAGAACACTAATATCTTAGTTCGGATAAAAATAGCATACCAGTTTAATCGCAAAAAAAATAAATCAACATGGAATACATTCAAAACAACTACTCCAATATGCATTATTTATACGAGTTTCGACATAAACTAAATCGGAATACCTCGATTTATGTTTTTCGGAAAGTTAAAGAACTGAAAATTTGAGTCCGAAACAAGCAACCCACAACAATAGAAGGCTTGACTAGGATGTGGGACCAAACACTCTTTACCTTTTATGGGACGGGTGGGGTATTTTTTATCGAGTTAATGGGGGGGGGGGGGTAGCGCTGAAGATTGTTGAAAAAATGGGGGCGGGGGAGCTTCTGTTGAACGTGGGGGGACGACTACTTATTTATGTATAGCGCGTTTATAAAAGCGTCATACATATAGTGTTTTTGTAAACTGCGCTATACATACCTGCCTTATCAGCTTCCAGGTATAACGCATTTTACAAAGGCGTTTCATATATAATGCTCTTTTAAAGAGCGCTATACCTTAACGTCCAAAACGGACGTTAAAGTATAGCGCCCTTTAAAAAGGCGTTATATATATTTTGGTCACTCTTTTTTTTTCCGTCATTTAAGTCCACAAGAACCACATTTAGTTCCGGACTCACAATTTGAGGGAGTATGGTTTAAGATTGGTAGGTATGGCTGTCAACTTGACTGTCAAGAATGGTAGTATGGGAAAGTAGTTGAGATCAAAAGAAGTTAAATATCTGATGTATATGACCATACTTACTACACTCTCTACGACTGGTTTTTTGAAAAGTAAAATCAAACAAATATTAGAAAGAAAGGAACTATTTTCCTTGATCTCAATTTCCAGCAGAAAGGAACTATTAAAGCAGACATTTTTCTTAAATTAAATACAACTCCTAACTAAACAAACGAATTTCCTTCTTTCTTTCTTTCTCGGTTTAACTGTACGTGTTGTCCTAACAAATTACCTTACATCGTTGATAGATGTTAGTTAAACTTTTTAAAAATACACTGCAAATACTCGTATCAATACGTACTGATAGTTGAGCAAGTGTATGGGGTAATATTGTCAATAACCGTAATTAAAATTAACGGAAGTGCCAAGCACCAAACAGTGTCGTGTACAAATTTCAAGTCATGCAGATAAGACATCCCTGAAAATAGAAACAAATATAGGTTAAACAAGTCAAAACTATTCTTAAATTTATTTTATGTTGAAAAGAGGGAGTAGTAGATGCAATATTGCAGACGATAACAAGAAGTGCAAGGAGGTCTCTGTTTGTAACGGCGTCATAGTTTCACAAAATATAGAAATATCATTTATCTTCCATTAGTAACCAAACTACAATAAAATCCTACAAAGCAACAAACTTACCTATGGTGCATGAATTAGTTTCTTTCCTCCTTATCCAGTCTAGCTCCCGCAGCGACGGAGCTAGACTTCTTCAGTTTAAACCTTATATTTACCTTTAAACATTTATTGAATATTTATAAATTATTAACTTAGAATTCAATAAAATAAATGACTAGAATACCGAACCCATAAATTTGAAATTCTGACTCCACCTATGGCTCCGGCTAGTCATTGTCTCGCTTTGTAAATTTCCTATTAGAGGTGTCAAATGGACGGAATGACCAAATTTAAAGATATTAAAATAATATATAAATCGATAAATAAAATAAATAGGATCCTGACATATCAGTTTATGTCTTCTTCAATATCTTAACCTTTATACTCGCTTTTTAAACCCGTCACACTTTACGACGATCCTCCGAAAGAAAGAGAAAGCGAGAAAAAAGAAGAAGAAATTTTGAGGAAGCAAACATTAGTAACTGATTTCTTGAATTTGGGTAATAAAATTCTTTAATTACCCAAACAAAGAGTATTTGAAACCTAAAGGCAGCTTTCTGTTGCAGATGAAAACTATTGGGGTGCAATACGTAATTATTTCAAATAGGGAAGACTGAAATAAACGAAGCAAGAAAAACCGGACAAAGGAAAAAGAGGAGAAACCACACAAATAGCGCAACGTACAAGACGATTGTTACCCAGCAACGGTAACAGCCCTTTGTTTCTTCTTCAGTCAAGTAAGCTGAAAACCCTTCTCTCTGCTTTCTTCTTTTCATTTTCTTAATGATACTATGAAGTTTTTTCACTTAGAAAATTTGTCCCATTTTTATTCAGTATTTTCAACTTTTCAAAGAAATTGTGTATTGCATCAAATTCCTTTCAATTAATTTCTTGGATTTGGGTAAAACCCTTTGAAGCATATATGCTTGTTGTCTCAATTAGTATAAGGGTACTAACTAAAGGTCTCATTTTTATACTTCCCAAATTTGTCTTATTGAACTGTGTATTATGCATTAATTGGTATATTCAATATTTCCCTATTTTGAACACTCATTTTATTCATGTTGTACAAAATGGTAGATTGCAGTTTAGTTCAATTGCTTAGTTGTATTACATATGCAGTGTTTTGTATTATTTTTTTTTATATTTTTTATGATTCGCTGTATATATGTGCAGAGCGGATGTAGCTAACAGGCTACGGGTTCAACTGCACTCAGTAACTTTAAGACGTAGCTTAGATACAACAACAACAACAACGGCCTAGTATAATCCCACAAGTGGGGTCTGGGAAGGGTAATATGTACGCAGACCTTATCCCTACCCGAGGGGCAGAGAGGCTGTTTCCAGGGTAGCTTAGATAAAGATGTAAAACATTACCAAAATTTCAATAAATATTATATTTTGAATTCATAAATTTAAATGTGCAGTAGGTTCAGTGGTAAAAACATAAATATTGAACCCATCAAGTTAAAATCCTGTATCTGCTATGTGATATCCTTAGCTTATTTTTTTGATGAAGTGATATGTGACCTGCTTACCTTACCATATCCATTTGCATTAATGCATAAGGGGTTTACAAAGATTTTTAATGATGGTTATGCTAATTTTGTCCTTTCCTTTTTAATTGCAGAACTTTATAGAGTTTTAGTGATCAATTAGCGCTTCAAGGGTCTTTTGATGGATAGTATTGTAGATGCACTGAACAATGCATATCAAGATTTTGTTGCAGCGGCTGCCACTGCACTTGAATCAAAAGAGAGTTCAAATGGTCAGAAAACAGTAGCAACTGACGCTGCGTTAGAAAACTTTAAGCAACGGTGGGAGTTGTTCAGGGTTGCTTGTGATCAGGCAGAGGAGTTTGTTGAGTCAGTTAAGCAAAGAATAGGTTCCGAGTGTCTTGTAGATGAGGCTACGGGCTCTGTTTCAGGGAAGCCTGGGCAATCATCAGCAACAAGTGGCCTTCAACCCATTAGTGCTGTTAGGTTGGAGCAGATGAGTAAAGCCGTCAGATGGCTAGTGATAGAATTGCAACATGGTTCTGGAGCGAGTATTGCTTCTACACACCCCAACCCTTCTGCTCCTTTTGATGCTAGATTTACTGAAGATGCCACTCAATAGGTATACTGAAATATTCCTCATACTTCTTTTCCTCCTTGTTTGCGTTGACTATCCTAAATAATATGGGAACAAATTTTGTATTATCTAATGAACTATAAGCAAATAAGCTTTGTTTCCTGGACTCGATGGAGCAAGCAAGTTCTAGAATGTTTCCTTGAAACTGAAGCTGACTCCTATGTAGGAGCTGCTGTCACATTTTACTCATAAAATGCTTCCTTAAAACTGAAGGTTTGTTGCCTCTCTTGCTTTTTAAATGCTTCATATTCTTCATAAAAAGATGCTTCATATTGTATATTTGTTTCGCAAAAGAACATGGTCGTATTTTACTGTACTTAGAGTAGTATGTGTTTCCATCTTATGGGGATGTCTGACAAGAAAGAAAATTAGGGGAAGGAAGTCGATTCGTCAAATTTTAAAATGTGGGTGGGGTGGGGTGGGGTGGGTAGATAGGTTGAACTTTTCGTTAATGTGTTGCTCATGATGAAAAGGAACAAATATGCATGATCTTCTTTTCAATTTCCCCTTGCATTTGCCTTGACACGCACAAACATGAGCACGCATGCACGAACGCGCGCGCGCACACACACACACATCATGTAATATGTACAAATCTATAGCCGCTCCATAGCATGGTGGCAGAGATGACATCTCGTCTGATGTGCATTTTTGGAAGCTATTGAAGACTGCTCCTGTTATATTTTTGGTTGTTGTTGAGGGAAAGAAATAGGATAACTTTGAAGGGATTGAGAGTTTGTGGTCGAGAGCAAATGGAATTACCTATTGCGTAGATTGTTGGCTAGATTTTAAGGAAGCAAGTATGCGCTCACAACAGAATTCTGGAAAGATGAGACCATCTTGGTAGAGTATTAATGATTTTTTTTTAATTTATCTAATTTTCTTATCTGACGATGACATCTTATAAGTCTTAACTAGCCAAACTTCCTGATTGCAATGTCTTATTTTTTCTTATTGTTAAGAATAATAAATTTATATTGCTTGTGGAAGTGGCTACGGTTACTGGGGCTTCATTTACTTTATTAATTGATAACAAAAGTTCTACTTGTCAAAAATGGTAATAAACAAAAGTTTTAGAGTTTCTCTGAAGTAGCTAGCTAGTGCGATTAATTCCTTTGTGCAGCTTGTGAAAGATTGTTAGGGTTATTAATTATTAGGGATTCATTTACTTCAATAATTAGTTACAAAAAATTCTCCTATTTTATTAAAGTGACTTGGTAATGCGGCCCATCTGAAAGGACGAATAACCATGTACTAATTGGTAGAAAGACTCCTCAGTTAAAAGTCATTTAAGGTCTAGTGATTCCTACATGTTTCTTCACTCCCTCTTGGCATGAGCCCCCTTTTTTCTGTAATTTAAAATATCATAGTGTTTTGAAATTTTGCTTGTTTTATTTGAGATTGGCCCTGCAAGCGGTACTAGTATTATACTAATGATATTTGGTACCAGTATTATACTATTTACTCCTTCAATGCCATTCTATGTGACAATCTCTTCTTTTTGGTCTCTTCTAAAAAAGATCCATCCTTTTTACGGGTTCGTGGTATACTAGCATTACGTAGAGGAAAACATACTTGGTTAAGAAAATTAAAGCTTTATGGATTGGAGAGAGGACCGATATTGATGATAATACTCTGAATAAGCTTTTTTAACTCAAAATTACTTTTCGTTACTACCTGAAACCTTGCAACATTGTAATGATATTGTTCATGCATCAATAATCTTTGAGGGGAATGTGCAGAAAGAGTGCAACAGCAGGCACTTAGAATAATTGGACGTGTTTTCTTATATTTGGAAATATGTTAGTTAACTGGTCTAGTATCAACTCCTGGTTGTGAGTTAATAGAAGCTAGCAAAATCTCTTAATAAGTTATCTTCCATCTAAATGTATTACTGTGAGTAACCACAAGTTTTTGCAGCAATTATATGCTATGTTCACATTGTTTGAGCTAAGTTTGTCCTCACATTTCAGATAGAAAAATGAAACTAGAAGAAACATGGTTGCTTTGTATTCTATGCTTGTCCTTAAAAAGCAAAGAACAATGATTAACTCTGACTGTTTTCAGGTGACTGGCAAAGACTGGTAAACAGGCAGAGACAGACAAACAGATCAACTATGCCTCAGTAAGCCGCTAAAGTTGTACGTTGGTTGTATCAAATCATGTTGTAACGCTGTAGAACTGCTCCGATCTTTATTTCCATTGCAGCATGAGCCACCCCATTTTTAGGTGTTATTCAGATTTCAAAACCACGTGCCCCTGTGTGTATACACACAAAATGTACACAGGCTATATTCATGTGCCTGCTATATATTACAGTTACACTTTTGAAGTTTGTTTGTACTTAGAAAAGTGGTAGTTCATATTGTTGTTGAAAAATGCTCAGACGTATTCTTTGTTATAGGTGTTCTTGATTTACATATTCTTGATGATGATATCATAGAGATTTAATTGCCTTCCCTTAAGAAATATATCTGAGGCATTGCCAAGTGTCTTGTTTTGAAGTTGTTTTAACCCTGATGAACTCAGTCAGTAGGCTTTGAAGACCCTGGAATTGCTGCCATAGCAGAATTTTATGATGTTTTGAGTGTAATAAGACGCTTTAGCTTACAACTAAGTCTCAATTCCAAGCAAGTTCAGGTTGACTATATGAATCTTCACTGTCCATCTCGCTCCATTTAAGTTTGTCTGTCTAATATTGCCCCATTTAAATTTGTCTGAGTCTAATATTAATAAAACGGTTTAGCTTGCTGCCACAAAATCCTGGCGCCAAGAGTTTTTTGCTAGGACATTATTAAGTCACGTTTGATATTATTTTGTAACTTGTGACGTAATCTTGAAAATAGTTCTCACTGCACTGGTTAAAATCAGCATGAACCCAGTGTGTTTTTCCAATACAGTGGATTGTTTCAAGCAGGTAAATACCATTTACTCTCAGTTGTTTTCAACTGCCTTCCCTACATAGCAGCTAATTGGAGGGGACTGCACAGAAGATTGAGAACAAGAAATGCAGACAGATTTCTTTTATACGTGATAGAGGGCCAGTACTTAAATTATGTCTTTAACAATAAAATTATATTAGTAATGAGTGCGCCATAACTCCAATCATGAAATGGAAATTAGCACTTGGCAACCTTTTCTTCTTATCATGAAGCAAATTATGATAAAACAAATTTACAGATCTTATGATGTAAAAGTGTCGATAATAAGTTGAGGGTCAGAAGAAGGGAGGAATAAATCATCACAAAAACTCCCTGTACACATAGCAGTTAAGCATGAACTCCATCAAGATGACAAGCAGAGACAAACGACATAAAGCTATATGCATCAGAGCGACGCAACGATAATACACATTCTTTTCATTGATATTAGGACCAGACCCAAGAATAGAGGTGTTTGAGGCAATGTACAGCGCTTAAGACCAACTTCTGACATAAGATACATGCGAATATACAGGGACACTCGAGATACAAAATAAATTCTGAGAGTTAGTTGCTTCCATATGGATATACAGAGGAGTGAAGAACACTGGGAGATGCCCCAAGTATCTAGGAACCATGAACAGTAGAAGCACTGCATATTCATAAATATCCTATAAGCAAGTCATGTGTAGCCTGCCCCAAAAGAACATTTTGTAATATCCTTGTCACTTTTGGAAGTTATATGCCCCTTTTCACTTCATCCGTGAAATCTCAATCTACAGATCAATCGATTGTGATCTAAGAAGCAAGGGTCATAATTAGAAGATGGTCAATTGGTTCCAAGCTCCACAAGAGGTTGCTACATTGGTGGAGAGTCTCCCCTGGCAGACTGTGGACACAAATCTGTCACATTGTCAGCTGCCCAACTGTTGTTGAGAAGATAAAACAGCTCAGCAGTTATACGTTCTTCTAATAGGTTGACTCCGGTGGCAAAATTCAGGTCATTGTTCCTGCTTACATCGTCATTCGTCAAAATGTGTTCTTCCCATTTTATTCAATTCCTTCGGAGGCTTTAAGTTCTTCAACCAACTCTTGATCAACCAACTCTTGACGTTGGGATTGCTGGTGGTGGGGTGGGGGAGCATGCAGAGCACCAGGACCAACATTTGACATATGCCTTTTAAGCGGTTAGGACACTCGTTGTACCAGCATTTTCATCAATGGAATCTATCCTCGTGTGCTTTTCAACTTCAGAGGCTTCGGCTATATTGACCAGAGAGGATTGTACTGGCTTGGTTGTGGATGAAATTGCATTATGGATTCTGATGTCAAACATTCTGTAATCTAGGACCAATTTCTGGCTCTATAGTGTTGCAGCATAGGTCATTCTGCTGGTTCTTCGAGCATTGATCTAGAGATTTCTCAGCTGGAGCTACATAGAGAGGCTGTGGTTGCTCATCCACCATAGTTGCACAATCAGCTTTGTTCAAGACATCATCTTCAAAACCGTTTGAATTTGCAAATGATGTGTCTGTCGAAGGAAGATTCTTCGTCGTATCCAGCTCCTCACCAATCATGACACCTCCATTCTCAGCAAACACATCAGCTGATGTGACCCCATCAAGGGAAAACAATTGAGTCGCACAAGCGGAGATGGATAATGGGCTGGTTTCCATCTCAACAGGAGAATTTTCCACAGCAGGTACTCTGTCTGCACAAGTGCCGTCCTGATCAACCTGGCCACCAGTCAAATTATCAGTGGCAGAACTCGAATGCTGGAGCTCAGTCAGACCACCTACCACATAGGGTAATGTGTCTGTTCTATTGCTCGCATTCACCACTTCTGTGTAGTGACCAGGTGTGGCAGCAGTCAGCTGAAGTCCTTGTCGCATGAACTGGCCACTTCCAGGACCAAGTTGAGCATCCAACTGCGTCTGCACCCAGACTGCTAGAGAAAGTGCATGATCACGAATCAAAGAATCATAAGGTGGGCAGCGTAACATATCAACCAGAGCCTGCATATATTGGAACATACTGGTGGATGGAGTAATAGACCCTTTGTCACGGAGATATTTAATGCTTTTGAGAGTATGTTCACATAAGTTTCCCAGTTTTGCCCAATTACAATCACAAATTGCATACTCTGAAGCTGGACTCCGAACAACATGCAGTTGATGCCGATCTTCCTGATCAACTACTTTTGAATAGTCACCCTCAACTAACACATCAGAATCTGGAATCTGCAAAGATTTCTGCCAAGCCGTTAAGCCACTCATCCATTCATTCTTCCAGTAACGTGCAAACTCATCCTTCCCTGAGTACTCATCAAGCCAGAAGTAAGAATGCACTGTGGTATCTAGCTTATCTACAAGCCAATCAGCACGTTCATATACACTTATTTCCTTCTCATTCAATAACCTAAGCTTCAATTGGTTGTGATAGTACTCCATCGCCGAACATGTCTCCTGGCTGGCAAGAGGAAGAGTTCTCAATGCACTAGTCCAGAGCCCTGGGAAGACAAAATCCATCAGCAAATAAAGCCCCAGCGAAGAGCCAACTAATTTTCAAATAGGAGTCTAAGAGAATTATTTCAAGCACTCTTGAAGAATAATGCATTTTAGCAGAATAATACTAAGCTAGCACTGCTTTTTGTAAGGTGAGGACTCTCAAACGTGAAAGATTGCATGTATATCCACTATGAAGGAGTTGCTCAACCTATACATAATTTAGAGTTTAAATGCTTAACAGCTGTTCGCTATATGGGTTAAACAGAAAGATCATCATGTTGTTGAAGATTTGATAAGAGGTTTTGGACTCTATTCAGACCTAGACTGTTATTGTACATACTTCTATACATCAGTACCTCCTTGGTTCTTTTCTTTTTAGTAATAATATATTTCTGATCTGGAGACAGACGCGCTACCATTGCGCCACGGATCCTAGCTAATTAGTGATAATATATTTACTTTATTCATCAAAAATAAATATCCAATATAGACATAGACGAAAATATGCAACTACTTATTGGAGCATGTGCATAAGGTATCCATCATAGGAAAACATCATGCAATAAATTGATAGGATTTCAGAATTCAAATATTGACAACTTCTGAGAGACTATTGTTTCTCATAGAAGTGTGTGAAACGTCTAGGATATTCCCAACAACTGTTACACAATGTGGACAAAGGGAGTATTAGTTTAAATTCATGTTAGTCGTGGATCTGAATCGGATTAGCAGAGTGTCAAATAAGTTAGCAAAAAACCTGTTTCATAGGTACTTCAATCTAACTCCAATAACAAATCTTTTTGTAGTGACACAGGAATCTGATTTACTGAATAGTATGCCTAACCTAGTCTTGGGTACCATGTGGCCTTGAAATAGTCCATAAAGTCTGCAGCATCCACGAAATCTTCCATAAATTCTTCAAACAAAACAGCAGTTCCATCCCCTTTGCAGATGCGATGCACAGCCTGGCCTAGCCTCTTTGCAATTGCAGCACAGGTCTCCATTTCTGAGCATTTCTTAATCAAGTTCTTATGCCATGCATGACGAACCCGCCAAAAGCATATCAATACAGAGCACTGAAACACTTCCCTGAGTGACAAGCAAGAAAGTACACCATTCATGCAAAGATAATATCAAGATAAAGTGGATGACCAGGAGCCACAATTTTAAACTGTGCAATCTAGAACCCAAAAATAATTGGCAGAACCACAATTCACGAGTGACTGAGAAAATACATAAAGAAAAACTAAGAGAAATGCCTAACATTCAGATTAACCTTCCACATACTGAGTGAGCAAAGTATGCCCTAATAGTTTCATCATTCATTTAAAATTTGATATACTCTTTAACTTTTGGTGGATGAACAAGACTATTAGATGTAGAAGCACAGGGACCAGATAAAGTGCTGATCCTTTCAAGCCGATCCAACAGAGCAACATTGAAATTTCCTGCCTATTTTACGCATTCATTGGCTAATTAATATCCCAATACACAAGTCTACAACAACAATTACGCCTCAAACGCAAATAAGTTAGAGTCGGCTAATGAATCCTCACTGGCCATGTTCCCCAATTAAATTCATCTCAGGCCAACATTATAAAAATCCAAAAGAAAAAGTACCAGAAGTTCTCTATATTTCCTACTAGCATAAGAATCTCTAGGGCTAAAGACTCCAAGAAAGCATGACCAAATTATAAAGTAAACATATTTAACATGACTAAAATGTATTCCCAACTACTTGATATCGCCTGTATACATCTTTTTCCTCCATTGTGCCCCATTAAATTAATAGGCTAATAGCCTCTCCCTGAACCCAAAAGATAGATGGAACTGGTGCAACTCTAGTTTGCCATGCTAAAGAGAAAAACCCCACATCCATTAGGGAAAAAAAACGTAAAAAACTAATGCGGTACCAAAAGATAGTCACCAACCTGATTGCAGGGACATCAGCTGAAGGATCATCCACAATGAATCCAGCCAACTTCCACTTAGGATCTTTCATATGAACTCTATTATATAGGGCCCTCATCCACCTAAGTGTATCTCCACTTGCAAATCTAGGTGCTATTATCCATGCCACCGGTATAGCCTTGTTGTCTGAGTTGAACACAACAAGACTGTGAATAGGATACTGGATGAATTTGCATAAAAGACAAAGTAAGCTTTCAAGTATTCGGTCTTTCTAGAAACTTGGTATCCATATAAGCAAAAATACCGTTAGTTTAATTTTTTTGTTCAAAAGAAATATAAAATACCTTTAGTTTATTAGTTCCAAACTTTGAATCAGAGGCTAGAAGGCCATGGTTTCCAAACCGAATCAGCTGTTGCAACTGCCATTCTGTTTGAATACCCAAGACAAACGGATCGGAATCAGAGAAATTCTCATAAAAGAACACATGATTCTGGTGACTTTCAACCCACATGCTAGTGCTGACTGCATCATCTGAGTCAAGTTCATAAGTAGAGCGCCTTATGCTCCTCTCTTGTCTCCGAACATATCTGTGAGTTAAAAGGTCATCTCGGTTGCATGGGCCTCCTTGTCTCTCCACTGATTCATTGTGCCTCTGCATGATTGTTTCCACAGACACTCCAACATAGAGCAGAGACAAAACACGGAGGCGAAGATCCTCTGAGATGTATGGAGCATACATGGCACGTGTTCCAGCAGCCTTTTTGTCCTGTGGGCCATGGCATGGTAATCCGTTCTTATCTATGTGCTTATCTTGGTTATATATGATAAGTGCTACAGATGGTTCAGCAATTAAGCGTTTAACAATAAAATGGCAGGTGCACCCCCTCTTTGTATTAGGTCGACCAGCAGGTTTTTTCTTAGGGACGTACGTCGTTCTACTTGGTCGGACGATTCCACCCTTTCTATGATCATCAGGACCAAAGGAGCACCAGTACCTAGAGAATCATAAGGCTATTTCTGTAAAATGCATTGTGATAGTAGCAATTGAAACAAGCTAAAGTGCTAAAGTACAGCTTACAGAATATATTCAAGGATGCCATCAACTTTAGGCTTGTAAGTTATCTCTGCAGGACGACGTCTCCGAGCTTCAACATGGAATCTTGTTGGACATTCTTTATTAGCAGATTCCCCTCTAACAAAGTCATCTACTCTAGCAAACGGAATGAGAGCAACTCTGTCTATGTTATCGCGCCAGCCTTCTACCTTAGACCACACAAGTTCAGCAGAAGAAAACTCCAAAGTCGGGGGGTTCTGAACAGGAAGGGAAAGAATTTGATCCCATCTAGCCATCTGTTACACAAGGGAAATAATAAGGTAAGTAGCACAGATTACACTTCTGAAAACAAAATGAGCTGGATTGCAAACGTTCACTAATCAGATTTGATTTTTCTTCATCAGATTTGATTATTCTTCCTTATGGCATTTAGTGTGATAAAAGGTGGGGACGAGATGCAGGTGTTATACCTAGGGGAGCCCATGAAATTTAATTTAATAATATAAACATAAATCTAAAATTAGTTGGGGTCGGCTATATAAATCTTCTGGGTCGATCCTAACTAGTTTGAACATTTTAAAACGTAGCAATGAAGTGTAAGAAAATCAACGCAAGCATCTAAGAATACCAACAAAAGTATAAAAATATCATGACATAGCAACCATTACCAACATCATAGCAATCCAACCAATATAAAGAAAGATCATAACTTTTAAAGACGTATCATAAGACAACACAGTGCAATAATGGCATCAAACAGTCAATAACCGACATACCGGACTGTCCAAAGGGAAAATCAAAAGAAAGAAAAACAATGAATAAACAACAAAAGTATACATCTTAATGGAAAAGGTAAAATAAAGGATTGCTGATGAATAAAATATCAATTTAATAAATGTAACATAATTTTTTTTTTAGTACTCCATGCATTCCAATTTATGAGAAACTCTCTTCTTATAAGTTCGGTTCATAAGAAACTCTTGAGACATCTCAAGATGTTTGACGCTACTCCATTAATCAACGACTTTCACAAGTTTAAGAATTCAAATTCATTAAATAATTCATAATTAAAATCTTGATGTGATATTTTATCTATCAAATTAACTTTTCAATCATAATTGTAATAATTTCTTCCAATATGCAAATATAATATTTTTATACAAAATCAAATACAACTAGAACAGAAGACTCTTGATTATTTAGTTTGGGGTGAAATTTAAGGCAGTATCTTAATTAAAACAATCTTATTTTTGTTGATAAAATTCATTAGAACAATCAGTGCTCAGCATGATTGAAAGCTTTCTGAAGCCACCGTTCAACTAGTGCACCCAGTGCCACTTCGTTACAGAGGGCGGTACCTAAAATTATTTAAACATTATAATATAATATAATATATAACACACACACACAAACATACGAGTGCTAAAATGATTAACAAAATGGAACAGCTGGATATTTAGAAGAGCATAAACCTATTGAGAACCTTCAAATGTTGTAGCTGAGTTGAGAGACCGGACGGCAAGCAGGCGAAAGTTAAGTAACGGCGGAGGAAGGATAATTCCAGAGGAAAGGGAGTCGCAGGCGGCGGAGCTTGGTGGCGGCAAGCGGCTGATTTGTAGGTTGCATTTTATAGTTTTAGGAGAAGGATATTTTTATTCCACTGGAAATGAAAATCTTTTAGAGTAATTGACACTTTGATCCTTTCAAGTTTCAAGAATTGTTGTTTGGTCCCTTTGGCTTGTGTACTAGTTATTGAGGATTGTTTATGGCGCGAAGAATAATGTATGAGTTGTTATACGCACTTGGCGAAATCATGAAATTTTTTAGGGGTGCTTGAATTTGAAAGAAGTGAAAAAATTTTCTGACAAAGAGTGTTTAATATATGCTATATACTTATAAAACTTAATATTTTATGTATATATTCAGTGTTATTTTCCGACGAAACGTGGTAAATTTTCGGACATATGACTTCACCCCTGATTATACGGTAATTAAGATTACAGGTAATGATGGAACTAAACAGAGTGAAGGTGGTTTCTTTGAATTCTTTGGTTAAAAAATATATTGTACAAATAAGATTAAAAGAAATTATTTAGATTATATATAAGTTGTTGAATTTCCTTGACATGAAGAAAAAATAGTGTAATGGAAAATGAGGTTCAAAAGTTTTTTTAGGTCATAAATCCAGGTCCAACTATGACATCCTGATATATTTCTGAATCTCTTTTTATAAATTTTTGGATCCGCAAATGATTGTAGAATTATTTTTATTAAAGATTTTTACCCATATATTACAATACATGTATTCTCATTGGACGTATTTTTAATGGACATTCAATCTCGCATAAAATATAACTTACACGAGCTAAATATCGCAGCTAAAACTTCTATTAATTGGGAGATTATATTTTCTTTTTTCGGCCAAACAAATGATGTACTATTAATTATGTTGAAATTATTTTTTTATTCAGCCAAACAAACAGCATAATTTTGTGCAAGATTTTATGTTAGGATTATTTTGCTAATGCAGCCAATCAAACGACTGCTTACACTTGCAGAAATCAAATCGTGGTTATTTTATTACTACTTACTACTTCCTAATGTGACTTATAGGCTTTCTTGCTTTTTGACAATTTTGTCCACTATCTCTTTTTTCTCAAAAATATTCGTGAAGCTTTGTTTCAAAATAAAACAAAAAACAATACATATTTGAAATCTCCAAGAAAAGAGAACAACATGAGTTTGTCTCTGTACTGATCCAACTTCACAAAGATGAATGCGCAAAAAAAAATTCAGATAAAAGAGTGAAAAGTAGTGGCAGATATTGAATGTGCCACTATTTTTAGTAAATAACAAAAAAAAAATATGACACACCAAGGGTGCTGTGGTGAAGCCACATAGTTATAAGGGCTCGTCGAAAAATTGTACTGTGTATATAGATAAAATATTACGTTTTAGAGATATATAACACATATTGAACATCATTTGTCGAGATTTTTTTTCACTTCTTTCAAATTTAAATACCCTTGGTAAATTCCTAGCTTCGCCACTGCAAGGGTGTATTCTAGTGATTAGTGAAGTGGGGAAAAGATTCTGGAAAATTAAGATTCCAATCCCAACAGGGAAAAAAAACTATGATTTCTTCTAAATTGTCTAAACTTTGATAGATAAAATTACTCAATACTTGTGTTGGTGGGAGATAACATGTACTTAGTAGATTAATGTAAGTGCGCATAAGCTCGCCAATAGTAGTAGTAGTAGTAGTAATAATAATAATAATAATAATAATAATAATAATAATAATAATAATAATAATAATAATAATAATTGTGATAATAAAGAAATATGACCCACATAACTCATAAGCATAACATGTCTATGAAACATCCATTTTCTTCATATTACTCGTTTGCATGAACTTTCATAGTATTCAATAGCCCACCAAAAGTTTCTACAGATTTCGGCCCCATTTGACGATGATTTTTGCCAAAATAAATTTGGGATTTATTTTCAAAACTCATGTTTGGCCATAAATTTTGCCCATATTTTGGCCAAATCCCAAAATCAGCTACTATTGAGCTGATTTTGGGCCAAAATTCCAAAACTGAGAATTATATACATGTTTTTCCAAAATAAAGTTGGAAATTGAAAACGTATGTCCAAACACATTTTTATCTTCAAACCAAACTTCACCCAAATCAGATTTTTCAAAACAAATTTGGGATCTATGGCCAAATGCTAGCTTCATATCATATTTAAGAGCGTTTCTCAATCATTTTAAAACAACTAGAAAGCATTTGGATTCTGAATGTCTTTGTAACAATTTTTTTCCTAAATTAGATCATTCAACATCTGTTAGCATTGGCCATGAATTCTCTTTTGGGCTTCAAAGCTTCATAGTCCCCTAAAATGGCAGCATGAGGTTCCTTCTGATTCTCTTTCTCCTTCTCCACCTCCATTCTCTTTGTAGAATGAGATAACTTCTTTATGTTTAACAGCATCACCACTACAAATATGAACAGGATAATACACGCCAAGGCTGCAAATTAGAAAGAAGAGAGCCTAATTAAAGTATATATTGTTAAATTTCAACACTTATATAATTGGTCAATCAAACACCAAAACTTAGCTTGTCCAAATTTCCAATGATAAAGGAGGAAGGTTGAACAGTCAGACCTCTCTATAACATTTCTATAAAAGCTAAACTTCTTCCGGAACCAATTTCTATGCTATGTTATAATATATGTTCTATATAACAACACTTTGCTATAACAGTCAAAAAAATCCAGAACAAATGAGACTGTTATAGAGAACTTTGACTGTAGTAGGTCAACAGTCAATCAGTGCAAAGCACAAACTGAATAATGAATACGAGGATTTATATAGTCAACCCCAAGAATACAACAGCAAAACATAGCTTAATCTCATAGTGTGTACGCAGCCTCACCCCTACCTTATAAAGGCAAAGAGATTGTTTTAAATAGATCCTCTGCTTAAGGACGGTAAAAATAAAGCAACAAGCAATAACAACAGTAATATAAGTCGATTTTATGTCACAGAGTTGATTAATAACTTACCTTTATCATTTGCTATGTCACTGAGTTTTTTAAAATGCCCTGCTTCTTGTTGAACTGAAGTTGTGAATTTTGTTGCTAAACTGTCTTGAGAATTTTCCAAGTGCCATGTTAAACCAAGGCCAAAAGTGTTATCAGAAAGGAAAGGACTATATGAAAATGGGATTCCTACAGTTTTAACATGGCTACAAAAATCTGGCATAACAAATGATGTTTCCACCACATAAACATGATGTGCAAAGCCACTTAGACAGGGGACTTGTAAAAAAGAAGCTGAAAGTTGAGCTGAACAATTCAGATACTGATACTCCTTCAAGATATAGTAATAATTAAATGGGGTGTGAGAAAGATTCAGATTCAAGAAAACTTCATGAACACAGTTATTGGGGTCGAGTAAGTCAAGCTTTTTGAGATCATAAGAAATGGATTTAATGACTAAATCCCCATAAGATGGAAAATGGACTATGGTTCTGTTTTGCTTACAGTATAGCTCAAAACCAGAGAGACCACAGTGTTGAGGTTGAAATTCCTGCAGTCTGAAAGGAAACTGAATGTTGATATCAGAGTTATTTGAACAGTTAATTGGTGAGCAACTATTTGTATTTGTATTTGCTTGTGCTTTAACATGTAGAATAAGAATGAAGAGGGAAATGAAGATCAGAGTATCCATACTATATTCAGAGGCTAAACAAACACCCAAATGAAATAGGATTTCACCGATTCTTAACTTCTATTTCAAGATTTTTTTTTTGGGGGGGGGGGGGGGGGGCTCGTCTGTAATTGGAATGAGACAAAGGGGCTGTGAGGAGTGGAGAAGGGGTAAAGATTCTAGACTGGGAGACCTGAAGTGCTAGACGGGCAAAGTATCAAAGTGACCTTCCAGCTACTATCAGCGCAATATTAGTACCCGGATTACCAAATAATAAAAAAAAAAAAAGCAGCCCGATGCACTAAGCTCCCGCTATGTGCGGCGTCCGGGGAAGGACCGGACTACAATGGTCTATCCTACGCAGCCTTACCTTGCATTTCATGTTTCCACGGCTCGAATCCTAACCTCTTGGTCACATGGCAACAACTTTACCAGTTACGCCAAGACTCCCCTTTGTTTTTTAAATGGTACCCGGATTTAATTTTTATATACTGATGATAGTGTACATAATTTTTGCATCAATCTTGCAATTTTATAAATTTCTCTGATCATGAATAATTACTTATTGCTACTTTTAAAATGACTTGATAATGTAAAAGTTTTTATACGTTGTTAATGCATAAAAAACAACATAATTATTCGTTGTAAGCATGGCGGCCTTCAGCCAATAAAGTGTTGATGGCGAATGGGTGACTTCTAAATCTTTACATTTTGTTCCACGAATAGTCAATGCATTCATTTGTGGCTGCATTTACTTTGGTCTTTGGAGGGTGATTAAGTATGACGAATTTGGCTTGTTCAACTTTCTATCTAATTATTTTTCCTCAAATACATCCAAAATGGTTCTCTTCTTGTTGAAGCGTGGTTGGTGGCTTTCAGTCCGGCTCATTCTTTTCCGGGTCAATTGACAAAATAGCTTAACAATTCAGAGATTATAATATACTTCATCAAACATTTGGTTGGGGTAAAAAAAACAGGGGGGTGGGGTTCCAAAGAAGGTACTAGGTGTTTTCATGGTCAAGAAGTTATTTGTTTTTCTTAGAAAAAAAAAAACAGTGGGAAGGGAAACAGGGGCGTACTATCATTCCATATCCAAATCAAGATGGGTAGCTGAAATAAAAATGTCCATTATCTTCTCTTCACTTGTCTGACATATGAACACACAATAATGGTTGCTCATTTTTCCATTGTAACACAAGTTCCAATTTAAAAAAGAGAAAGTAGCTGGTATATCTGGAAAACACTTTTTCTAATTGCCCGAGTTTTGAACATTGCATTTCAGAGTTTCGAATCAATTATACAGGACCGTCCATGTCAAGCTAAACACAATTGGGGAAATCAGCAGGGGAAAGCAATTCAATGGAATCATAAGTCGACTGTTATATGTAAATACACACCTGGATACACAGCTCAATGTATATTGAACAATACAATAATGTATTTAGAGGACAGGTTAACTAGATACACTTGAGAAACCACACACCCCCGCAGACACATATACTAATACAAACAACAACACTCGAACCAGGAGCTTAGATGAATTGGTGGTAAGAGGAACGTTTTTTTTAAAATAAAAAAAAGGTGAAGAAGAAGAAAGAAAGAAAGAAAGTTGAGTTTCAATTAAAGAAGCTCTTTTGCTAATCTCACTGGTTTTTCATTCAGAAACGCCATATCACTATTTGCTACAGTTAATAACTGATGATCAGAGTCTTCCTCCTCGCTGTCCGCCAATACAGATGACCCACCAGAATCTGTCCCATCTTCTACAATTGCAATGCATTTCAGTTAGTTAAGAACAAAAGCCTACATCAACATAACATGTATGATCATTCCTTCATCCTTTAGGTTATTGTACATCTGCTAAAGAATAAGACTAATATGTACTTAATATGTGCATCTACATGCACCCATAGAGACACCCAAAATGCACTAAAAGATATGAGTGAGAGATTTGCTTGACAGAATAAGATATCCAGTCGTAAGCATATAAATAGTCCTGAATCTTTAAGTACATTGCGGGGCTTTAACTTTGGTGGTTTTCAGGTATGGTCACTCTGTTAGAATCCCACTTAACATCTGTTAAGTGTGTAGGTTGTACTCTCCTTTATTCTGGACAATCTTCACTACTTGACCTAACTTTCAGAGTTCAGTTAGGCCATGCTCCATTTTCTCAACATGATATCAGAGGCAGGCAGACTCATCCCTGATGTTGGGACAGCCATGTTATGTTACTGCAAGCTCCAAATGCCTCGCCCTGGGCAAACACGAGTGTGCAAGAATCCCTCATTAGTTAACTGCATAGGGTGGTATAGTTTCCTTAACTGGTCGTGGACAATCCTCACTACCTAAGCAAATTTTTGTAACTGAGTTAAGCCCACAATCAACAAAAGATGAGCATTCAAGCTCCCTTTGAAAGACGGGACGTGCGATATCAAATTCAACTGAAGGGGCCAAAACTGCAACCACCCTATCGTGATACTATTACAATCAATAGAAGAATTCCTCATGAATACTTAAATCTCTAGAGAATACATTATCGAAAGATTATGGTATTCACAGCCGCAAAAGTTCTCTTTTCTTTTTCTTTCTCGGTGTGATGCTTCTTTAGCCACATCCACTCATCTTAATTAGTTGGAACCATTAGCTAATCATTATGTGTAATCATGAGCAGTTCTATGAAGAGAGGAGCATTAAAAGGGTGGTCCACCAGAGTAGTTTTCTTAACTAAATACATAAAAAAAAAATATGTAAATATATACTCAAACACAAAAACATGGTTTACATGTCTTCTCATATACATCAAATATATGTTATGTCAGATGTGACTACCATCAAAATGGAACTTCACATTCCCAAATAACTAGATAAACCGATATATAAAAGTTCTGAAACAAAAGATATATAATTAATTGGTGAGTAACAATTTCATACGCATATCTGCAGATTTTACCAGCTCTGCTACCAATAGTCGTATTAATAATACAGAGTTTCATACCGAAAAATAAACATTCTACTCCCTCTGTCCCATTATACATGAAACTTTTCTTTCTAGTCTGTCACAAAAAGAATGACACCTTTCTATTTTTAGAAACTATTACCCTTACTGTCCCTATTTTACCCTTAAAAGGATCATTTGGTAGTTTGCATACGTTTGGCTAGCATGTCAAAATCCGTCCTTAACTTCTTAAAACTCCATACCGAGACAAACATCTTCACATAAATAGGACGAAGGGAGTATTAGCAATCTAGAGTTTCATGCTAGAATATTTTTTTTACATGCGGGAAATCAGACAAGTCCTAATTTGCTCTTTATTCCCAAAAATTCATATTCCATTAATCGGAGTAAGCATGTGGTAGCTGAAGTATTGTCACCCTGTGTTACAAAAAAATTTACCACCCATTGAAAATGGAAAGGTGAAGAGAGACAGGTGTCCACACCAACCTGAAAAGGCTTGATGATCAGGCAGATGTCTAATTCTTGTAACTTGAATAGCTTCTGGTAAAATGCAATTGCAGAATGAGCCTGAAACTTCAAAGATAATTGTGTGAAACAAACTAGAAGTTTTACCAAGGATAGCCCAGAAAAGCAGGATTTATACAGCTATTTGTTTTTGCCACAACTTAAAACCATATTGTAAAGTAATGCAGATAGGAACAAGAGCAAATAGATGCAGATGGACACTGGTTCCCACTTGAAAGTTGCCCCACAATAGATGCAGATGGACACTGGTTCATACTTACCTACTCGGGCCAGTCGATTCACCCATCCAGGAATTGGCTTTCCCGTGAGACGTGAACAGACTTCATCGGCAAAATGGTTGCAGTTCTTGGCAATCAAATGATAACTGTCCCCATGATATTTTTCTGAAATATGTTCCATAAATGACCGAACTTCTGATCGAGACATGTCTGTGCTGCCCAGGAGTACTGCACGTCTAAACACAAAACCTGGACAACTACGTGGCTCCACCTCAAAAACCCCACTAGTTGGATAGTCGTGGGCTCCATACCCATACTCTAGACCATGTACTGCATCGAAACAAGAATAACAATAAAAGAAAGGAACACAAGTTATGCTAAAACCCAAAATCTTTAACAATAGAACACACAGCTTCTTCAAAAGGTTTACAAACTATAACTGTTAACTGCAGCACCCATTCCGGGATAAAATTGATATAGCAGAGTGTTCATGCCCGGAATGTAGCTGCAGGTGGTATGTTGATGGTAGCCATCTAGTTGAGGAGCAAATTCAAGAGATACTCATGCACAACAAGAAGCTACACTGAGAAAAAAGGACAGGAAGCACCAAAGAAGGCACCCAAAAAACTATTCATAAAACCATAACAATTAAACTAGAAGAATAAAGCTAAGGGCCCTAATTCATACATCCTGCTTTGGTTCTTCATAACTAGAGCAGACCAGACAGCTTTTAGAAAGAGAAAACATCATGGATGGTTTACATGCCAAGGTTCTCGATCTCACCACAAGCACCAATTCTCCAAACAACATAACATCACATGTGGGGGGCTTGATCAGAAGAATTCAAAACCCTAAGGAGTCATTTATTTTGCATATAAAGCATGAGTTCAGGCCTTAAATTGCAATCTTAGCAGCAAACTAATAGTCTTATCAAATAACCAATTTGCTATAAATGGAATTGTCTAATCTCCAACAAGGGTGGGTAGATTATGGGGAGAGAGCTTGATGTAATTTATCTAGACAAAGGCCATAATTCCACTGTTTCACTTTTTCCCCTCCCCTGGCATTCTTTGGGTTATCATTTTTCTAATTTTATTCTGGTTTAACACATACATGATCCTCTCAAGACTAAACGTACACGAAGGTGACAGGAATTAGAAATGATTTGACAAAGCATCTTGTCCTTGTGATTTCTTGATACTACAGGTAAAGAAGCAATTTTTTTTTATAATGTAGATGAATAAGCAAGTATAAGACACATTGGACTCTGATTATGCTTCACATGACAAGCTTCACGGTGGTATTCATTCTATCGTCCAATATATATCCAGAAGAAAACAAGAAAAGTTATAAGTAATTTCAGTTTCTAAGATATGACTATTGAACTCTTCATAGTCTTCGCAAACCATCTTTCCTCTTTTCCACCAGCTCGGTCAACAGTAGTTGCAGACATATCTCTAAATTTATCAACTAATAGTGTATTACCATGTCAACTTCTTTTTAAGAAATAATTTATCTTAACCATCATGAGCCAGTTCCATTATCCATGCCGGTAAGCACATTTACTCGATAGGCTACAAGACCAGTAGGTTCCGAAAGTCAACTACTTTTAAGCTGACACCTTCTTCACCAACTCCCTATAATGGCAATTGAACCTTTTGTACCAGACGATAATAGACCTGAAGAAAAGGTGGAAGATTCAGTGAAAGATTCAATACGGTGGCGAAAAAATATTGCCTTTGATAGAGTTTTGGATGTGTCATATGAGGGGTTTGAGGTGACAAGGGATCTCCCAACAATATTTCAAAAGGATGGAAAACTAAAAAAAAAAACGTTGAGAAGGAAATTATCTTTATCACAAGGACCCGAAATGAGGAAATATAGCAGGAGGTAAGAATTGAAGAGGCTTGAAACTACAACTAATTATGACGGAAGAAAGTGTTAGAATATCAAGTGAATATGTGTCTAGATCAATACGTGTCTAGATTGTTATTTAATCAAGTCAATGAGAGCTTTTTTCCATTTACACATGGTATCAGAGTCTCTACAATCTTGGTAGAGACTCAAATAGCTTCCATCAGCAGGTAGAGCTGGCCAATGTGGGTCCGGCCGATTTTTCTTCTTTTCTTCTTCCTGTTGATGTCCCGCAATGCTAGTGTGTCCGACAAACATTCCAATGTCACTATATCTCTGGATACCAGCGCAACTACTTCTACACGACTGATGCCACCCTCTAAACCTTGAATTACTTCTCATTGTTTTACCATTTCAAGTTAGGCCGATAATGCCATGGAGAATTGCAACATTATAATCTCTTATCGTTTATCGAGAAAAGATCTCTTCCCGTGTGGGTAACACCCAAAAAAAAGAAAGAATTACATACCATGTCAAAGTAACTACCTTTACCGATTGAGATCAAACTATACACACCCTAGACTCTGCTTTATTTCATCCCAAAATTAGATGTAACAGCAATATTTATAAAAATACACAGTAAAAGGAGAATCAGAAAGCTTTAGTACCTTCTATACCAGAATGAAACACTCCGAGGCCGAACCAATAGAGATAGTTGTTTACAGGTGTGAGATCATATACATTAAGATACAACAAAGCCCGAGTTTTCTCTCCATTGTACTGCTCCTTTGATGAACTTGAGCTTGACCTTAACAATCTCATTGTAGCCTCCACCCACTTTGGCCACCTCCACCACCCCCCTCGCTTTCCCAATATATATCCACACAGCCGACAGCCAATTAATAAGCACCTAAATTTCATAAACACAAACAAAAAAGACAAATTCAGTAAAACTAAAGCTTCCAGCCACACTCAAATATGTTCAAATTTAACTCACTATACATAACATGAAGAAAATTTGGCTATTACATCGAACAAACACGGCTAATTGAGGTAAAAAACGCAAAGATCAATTGACTAGGGCCGTAGTTTTAACAAACTCCGGAGCTAAACTTTATAAACACAAATAAAAAGGCAAATTCAGTAAAATTAAAGCTTCTAAACACACTCAAATGTTCAACTATAACTCATAAACATAACCTACAGAAACATTAAGCTATTACATAGAACAAACACGGTAATTGAGGTAAAAAAAACAAATATCAATTGACTAGGACCGTAATTTGAACAAATTCTGTAGCTACGGTAAATGAAAGTTCAAAACTGAGCTAAATAGAAACATATACGAGAAAAATACAGAGGAAATATACGAATACGTAAATTACGTCTGTAGAAAAGAAATTGAGAAAGAGAGAGATATTACCGAGATTTTAGCTGGAAACCGGAGATGTTTGTGCGGTGGCGATGGCTTCAGATCGCCGACGTGGGATGTGGCGGAGAAAGGAGGAGGATTGGCGGGGTGGGGGTTGGGAGGAGGGGGGGGAGGGGATGTGGAAAGACAGGTTGGTTGTAGTGGCTGCCGAGTAAATATTTTGCTAATTATTTTCCCATAGCTGTCGTGTGAACAAAAAGAGGCTTATTTTGGAATTTAGAGTAAAAAAGAGTTTGCTTTGCCTTAAAAATACAATATTTATATAGTAACTCTTTCTTTTATCATCTTATTTTACATAATTTTACAGCTTTCAATAATTTTACGTCGTTAAACTTTTCATTTGAATCGTGTAATGTTTCTATCAAACTAATTTTCAATTATTAATATAGACTAATGTGAACTTTTACTAGCCATGATTCTTCATTTGAATTCACTTAAGACCAATATTATGCATATATTAATACTTTAAGATTCGCTGTTAGCTAAAATAATCAAAGAATAAAAGCGAAAAATTAGAATTGAATGAATAATGTCATGCTTTTTGTTGGAAAAGCGATTAAGAAGAGAGGTTTAATTAGTCAAATAAAAAGTGAATGCCTTTAGGAATAAATAATTATTATAGGATAGCTGACTACAGCCTAAAGCCTTAAAAGTAATGTATCAACACATGACCTTTTTCAATGACTACTCGTCATTCATGTTGTTGTTAAATTATAAGACTTTGAATATTTGTTTGGATTTAACGATATCCATAACAACAAGGTGGAGAATAAGTTGATTGTGCAGTCAACAACTACATTTCGATGAAGTTAAAACATAAAACGAAAAGGTCATAAGTCAGATAGTTCATCATAATATCTTAAATTTTATGTTCTTCGGTTTATAGTTAGGTTTCTTGACATGTTAGTAATAATCTATACTATATATATATATATATATTATATCTATATCTATACTATAATAAAAGCACGAAAGTCCTTAGCGAATTGTCGTTTGCCTTTTTTATCCTTTAAAAATAAATATAACATTGAATAAAATTGTCATTTTACTTATCTTCCTAATATTTAGGACTTTTACGTCAACTAAAATTCTATTTATTATATCTCTTCTTATTTAAACTATGAAAAATAAGGAAATTTTAAAAATCAATGTAGAGTTTACCTTATATAAGTGATTCACTGTAATTATGATACCAGAAAAAAAACAATAGAAGAGGCCGAAAATAGATTAACGTTTCAAATATCCTTTCTACCAGGAGTATTTGATTTTGTTTGGCCAAAATCACTTATAACTTGAACTTTTCATGTTTCTATTTGTTTAAATTTTTATTTTGTTAAAATAAATCATAATAACACTGCATAGTAATTGTGACGACCCCACCAGTCGTCTCATCAGTTACCGCTCCGTTTTCCCCATTTCTGCTTCTTTATGTTTCGTTATCCGTGTTTTATGTGGTCGAGTTGATTGGTTTGTGGTTGGAGTGGATTTGGTAAGGAAATGAGACACTTAGTCTCTTTTAAGAAGGCTTAAGTTAGAAAAGTCAACCGGACGTTGACTTATGAGTTAGAGGGCTCGGATGTGAGTTCCGATGGTTCGGTTAGCTTCGTGAGGTGATTTGTGACTTAGTAGTGTGATCGGAAGTGGTTTTGGAGGCCCGGAGTAGAATTAGGCTTGAATTGGCGAAGTTAGTATTTTGGCGAATTCCGGTTGAGAGGTGAGATTTTGATCCGAGGGTCGGAATGGAATTCCGAGAGTTGCTGTAGCTTCCTTATGTGAATTGGGATGTGTGTGCAAAATTTCAGATCATTCAGACGTGGCTTGGTTGGATTTTTGATCGAAAGCGTATTTCGGAAGTTTTTAGAAAACTTAGGCTTGAATTCGATGAATTTTGGGTAATTTGATGTTGTTAGAGGTGTTTTGATGATTGGAGCAAGTTTGAATAAGGTATTGAGTCATGTTGGTGCTTTTGGTTGAGGTCCCGAGGGCCTCGGAGTGGTTTCAGATGGCTAACGGGAGAGTTTTGGACTTGTGTAATTGTAGAACTCCTGCTGCTTCTGGTGTTTTCGCACCTGCGGTTTGGGGACCGCAGGTGCAACCGCAGGTGCGGCATCGCATGTGCGAAGGATTTTCCCTAGATGCGGATTTGAGGAGTGAGGTCAGGAACCGCAGATGCGGAATAGGGACCGCACCTGCGGAGTCGCAGATGCAGCTATTGGACCGTAGATGCGGTTAGGCGGGATTTAAGTGAATTCCGCAAATGCGGAGAAGTGACCGCAGAAGCGGTACCGCAGAAGCGGGTAATTGACCGCAGATGCGGTTATGACTGGGCAGAAGGTATAAATGGTTCTTCTTCGCGATTTTTGAAGGGTTTATTCATTTTAACTTCGGACTTAGAGTTTTTGGGCGATTTTGAAGAGAGTTTTCAAGGGAACTTCGATAAGATAAGGATTTTGGACCTAAAACACAATTCTATGGTGATATTTCATGAATTAGGACTGAAAATTAAGGAATTTTTGGACTAAAAATGGAGGTTTAGGGCTTGAGATTAAGAGAGTCTAAATTGGGGATTTGAGGGGTCAATTGAACTCCGATTCTTGTGTTTTTGATATGTATGAACTCGTGGGGAGATAAGTAATCTAATGATGTAAAAATTTCTGAGTTTTGAGAAGTGGGCCCGGGGCTCGGGTTTTGCTAATTTCGGGATTTTTGATATTTTTCGATTGGTTTCGCTTGGGTTTTGTTCCCTTAGCCTATTGTGACGTATTCGTTCTGGTTTTGGTCAGATTCGACGCGCGAGGAGGCCGATTTGAGAGGCAAGGGCATAGCGAGCTAGAGATTTAGCCGGTTCGAGGTGAGTAATGATGTTAAATGATGTCCTGAGGGTTTGAAACCCCGGAATTGCACATCGTAGTGCTATATTGAGGTGACTTGCACGCGGATAGCGAGCGTGGGGTAGAGCACCGTTGGGGATGTGACTTGGTCCGTCCCGATTGATGAAATTACTACGTATTTGACTGAAATTTACTTGTTATCATCATGATTTGGGTTGATTGCCATATTTGAGCTTCGTGCCAGTTATTTGAACCCTTCGGGGATTTCTATCACTATTTCCTCACTGCTTTGAATTATTACTTGAACTCAGTCCTGTTGATATCTACTGTTTTACAAACTCAGCCACTTTACTCAGATTTGAAACTTAAATGATATTTCTAAATGATGTTTTGGGCTGAGAACTACTGTTTTGCTACTGCCCGAGGGGCTTATGATGATTTTCGGACTGAGTGAGGCCGAGGGCCATATGTGAGGATATGCTGAGTGATATGAGGTCGAGGGCCGAGACACTTTTATATGCCACGAGGTGGCTTGAGTATTGTGAGGCCGAGTGCCGAAAGATGATGCCACGAGGTGGCTTGATATAGCGCTTGGGCCGTAAGGGCTCCCTCCGGAGTCTGCACACCCACAGTGAGCGCGGGTACCCATTTGATCTGAGAGTGAGCCCGCGGGGCTGATACTGTTCTGAGTGAGTGACACTGTGCCCGAGGGGCGGATTTCTACTTGTTATTTACCTGCTAAATTACCTGTTTTACTTGTTTTAAAGAGATTTCATTGGGGTTCTTCACTGATTTACTGCTTTAAGTGATTTTACTGCTTAATATAGAATTGCTTTGTGCCTTTACGTGCTTTCATACTTACAGCCATTATTTATAATTATTACTCACTGGGTCGGAGTACTCACATTACTCCCTGCACCGTGTGTGAAGATTCAGGCATAGCAGAGTCCGCTCCTGAGTGTTGATCCTCCCAGTCCAAGCAGTGATTTGGAGATTACGAGGTAGCTGTCAGCGTCCGCAGCCCCCGTGCCTCCCCTATCTTATCATTTTCATGTTCGTAGAACTATTGTACCGGATTTAGTGTTCAGTAGACTCATATCTGGATTTCTTAGTTGCTCTGTGACACCCCTATTTGGGCTGTGTCGGGATGGTTTCTCTTACTGTTATCGTTATTTCCGCAAATTATGACTATTATATCATGTTTAACCACTGTTTATGGTATTTAACTGCTTAAAAGAGGTGTTCGGTTTGGTCTGGCTGGCCTTGTCTTCACGACAGGCGCCATCACGATCGGGTTTGGGAATTTGGGGTCGTGACAAGTTGGTATCAGAGCCTAGGTTACATAGGTCTCACGAGTCATGAGCAGGTTTAGTAGAGTCTCGCGGATCGGTACGGAGACGTCTGTATTTATCCTCGAGAGGCTGCAGAACCTTTTAGGAAAAACCTCACATTCTTGAAATTCTTGTCGTGCGAACTTGTTGATCCGAGTGCTAAACTTCTGTTATTCTATTCTCTCGTAGATGGCGAGGACTCGCGCTACCGGGCGAGGTGGACGACCACCAGTACCACCCACTGAGGCCACCAGAGGCCATGGACGCAGTCGTGGCAGAGGTAGAGAAGCGAGGGCAACACCTATTGATCCACCAGTTGCCCCAGCTCAGGATTAGGCTCCAGCAGCACCAGTTCAGGCACCAGCTGTGCCCATCGTGATTCCAGGTCTACAGGAGACCTTGGCTCAGATCTTGACAGTTTGCACTGGCCTGGCTCAAGCAGTTTCAGCCAACACAGCGGCAGCTACTTCGCATGCCGGGGGAGGCAATCAGACCCCCGTCGCTCGCACACCTGAGCAGGTAGTGCAGGGACTACAGACGCCGGAGGCACCTCCAGCTCAGCCGCTTGCACCAGTACAGGAGTTCAGGGTTCCAGTTATGCCGGAGGATGAGCAGCGTCATCTTGAGAGGTTTGGTAGACTCCAGCCTCCGACATTCAGTGGTGCTGAGGGCTAGGATGCCCAGGGTTTTCTTGATAGGTGTCAGCAGATGCTCCGTACAGCAGGGATTCTTGAGTCTAGTGGTGTGGCATTTACCACCTTTCAGTTTTCTGGGGCTACCTTCAATTGGTGGGAGGCGTATGAGAGGCGTAGGCCGGCTGGTGCAGCGCCCCTTACTTGGCAGCAGTTCTCCACTCTTTTCTTGGAGAAGTATGTACCACAGTCCCGCAGAGAGGAGCTGCGTAGATAGTTTGAGTGGCTGCGACAGGGAGATATGACGGTGTCCCAGTATGAGAAGAGGTTTTCAGAGTTGGCTCGTCATGCAGTTTGGAT